TTACTTCGCGGGTCGTGCTAATGATTTAGAAGCCTCGAAGTTGATCAACTCGCAGAGATTTGAAGAGTAAGCGCTGGTTGTGATTATGCGTATCGATCGACTAAGTAGTGTATACTACTGGCAGCGATGTTCTCATCTTGAATGCATGGTAACATGTAACTTGTGTGGTTGATACTGCGAGGCAGACGTTCGTACTGGTGGATCATGCAGCGGGTATGGAGATTGCATTCAGCTCATCTTCAAACCTACTGCTACAGGAACTACACGACATCCAGGTGGGTCTTTGGACCAGATGGGAATCACACGTGATCATTTATGTCGCAAGCATCATTCACAGTCTGCTTACCTTTACATTTCACTGGAACTCTTTATGGCCCATGGTCTCCACTCTTCTTACTGCTTCCGCCACCAATACCATGAACATCAGAGCCATCGACTGAGCACCACCAGTAACATCGTCACTGAGGTTCGAATCAGCGATGAAGCTTCCTTACCCTGTTGACAATCAGCATCTTGCTTTTGAGATTGAGTGGGGTGATATTATGTTTTACAATGGATTTTTTGTCGCACTACAAGCGCTGAAAACCCAAATATTCACTTAGATCGTTGGTTTTAAAGACAGTTCAAATACAAGGAAGTTGGCATAGACTATCAAGTGATACTCAAGCAGAATGCCCATTTGTTACGTCAAGTTCAGAAAGATAAACAAAACACGAAGCTTTAAGCGAACAATTGTTTTCGATTAATTCTTCTTCAGGCTCATACAGTAATATACATTAGGGTAACGTCTGTTGCAATCGTCAGTGTAACAAATAAACAATTGATCAGAAAATTTAACTTGTGATCATGATGGCAGTCATCTGATCACATGACTGAAGTCAGGTGAATTTGCGGAGTACCATTACTTCCTTCCTGGGTGGTGGTCGGCCAGGGAAGTTGTAGTGTTTGTATCAGCTTCTTCTGAACACACAAGTCCGGATATCTTAGGCGTATGCATACTGCTTCAGCTTCTCGAATATGGATATCCGGAGCGATTTATCGAAACCCATATGAGGCGATGCATACCAAAAGCATCAAAACAAACCGTTGAAAAGAAACAGCCTTACTTGACACTTCCATTCAAAGGAAATAGTGCGGCTGAGACATGCACGCGTCGACTACAGCAAAGCTGCAAAAAGACCTTTAATGCGGCCCAGCTGGATTTGATTTTCACGAACAGGCCTTTACTAGTTCCGAGATTCAAAAACCGAGTTCCTGATCATCTCCAATCAATGTTAATCTACCGGTTCACCTGCCCGTGCGGGGCCAGGTACATTGGACGGACGACCAGGCATTTAGGTAAGAGAATTAAGGAACACCTCCCAGGTTGGCTCTACAATCGCGAGAATAGGACAAACTGCAGTGCGATTACAAACCATCTAATCAACACAGGCCACCAGGTAAACAAACGAACATCCTTTCAGATTCTCTACAAAATACCATCAAGACAAAACCATCGTCTAAGTGCCTGCATACTCGCCACCGCTGAGGCAGTATGCATACGCCTAACAAATCCGGACTTGTGTGTCCAGAAGAAGCTGATACAAACACTAGAACTTCCCTGGCCGACCACCAGCCAGGAAGGAAGTAATGGTACTCCGCAAATTCACCTGACTTCAGTCATGTGATCAGATGGCTGCCATCATGATCACAAGTTAAATTTTCTGATCAATTGTTTCTTTGTTATACTGACGATTGCAACAGATGTTACCTTAATGTATATTACTGTATGAGCCTGAAGAAGAATTAATCGAAAACGATTGTTCGCTTAAAGCTTCGTGTTTTGTTTCTCTTTCTGAACTTGACTTATCAAGTGATAGACAACCTACGTAACTGTCTCGTAAGAGGATACTAGTGTTTGTAGAAAGTAGAAGTCACGATTAAACTCCACACAATAATCTGCCTCGACGGGGAATCGAACTTCTGCTTGCTGCGCGACGTAGTGCCAATGAGCTCACTGTGTCTGTCCTGATATTGCAGATTGGCTCACTCACTCGTCACTTCCCAATGGACCGAAGTAACTGTGAGCTCATTGGCAATACGTCGCGCACTAAGCAGAAGTCATGTATTAAAAATTGCGCACCTAATCGTCAGCCCTCAGTAGCTCAGTGGTAGAGCAGAGGACCGGAAATTCGTGGGACCGGGGTTCGATTCCCCGTCGAGGCAGATTATTGTGTGGAGTTTAATCGTGACTTCTACTTTCTACGAACATTACAATACTCACAAACATCCACAAGGATACTGGTGTGTTTGAATTCCGTTTTGACTAGACCAATCGGCTGGACCGTGCCTCGCACAGTCGATGAATGTACCGTTTATGCATTTACTCACAACTTAAGACGCTAACCACTGCAGCCCCAAATAGGCCTTCTAGTACCTTATTAGAGGTATGCTGACTGCCCGTTTAAAAATTGTCACGAATCTCCTCGAGGTAACTTATTGTTTAGCATAGGAATAAGATGTTCTCAATATATAGCCATTATATAATGCAAATAAACGAGATTGTTGCATGCAATCGTAGTCACCCGAGCGCGCATTCTGCTTTGGGAGAGTTGCCACGCCTTCTTGCTTGACTAACATTGCATGCGAGTGTTCATGATCGTCTGCGTCCGCGCACTATGGTATGAGGGCACTCGGTGCGACATATTTTCGTTCAGTTTTGTCAAACCACGCCTTGTTTAAGGCATATGTTCTTCGTATTCTTTGGATATAAGTAGAGTTATCTGCTTTCTTTCCTTTTCGCCCAATCTCGGGCTCTGTTGTTTGCTCATTAACAGTATCCGGCTAATGCAAATGGCCCTTTTCTCGTTGTGCCTGAAGTCATGCCTTCTATTTATCGATAGTTCTCAGACAGGCAGTCTCTTTTGCTTCCGGAAAAGCACTGGACGGCCGTTGGAACTCGTCCAACTCCACTAGGAACCGAACTGATGACCTATCGACATCAGAGGCTTACGGCACCAGGTCATGGGTGACAGTGTCAGACAGTTATCACTTACAAGCGAATTTTATTCTATCGTATGGTTGTCTCCTTTATTCAGTAGCTGCTGGATTCTTGTCAAGCATGTGACATGCTAGTGTGAATACAGTTTTGGGATGAAGAGTGGTAGTAGTTAAGGAATTAACAACAAATTATTAGGTTGGTAATAAAGTTATTACATTTTTTAATCTTAAAATTTAAATGCACATATCTTGGCCCAGAAGTAACATTTTTACTCGAAGCAAATACCATTTGAATTGAAACACTTATGCCAACGGGATACAAGTTTATGTATCCTGGATGAATAAAATTCCGGTTCTGGTGGTGATGAAATCCCAGAAGGTAGTTTTAGCATCTCCTTGGGTTTTACAACTTATCTTCTTGGAACTTATCCAGGTGCTTGGAAAGTGTTACTCGATAAGTTAGTGGGTGGAGCAAAGTTTCTTAGCCCTGCTCGTGCGGCCTCTGCAGGGTTGTTTGTGCGAGGTGCGACCGAGCGTTCCCACGGAGAAGAATTGACCCCGATCTGTTGCCAGTGCTGGGCACTGTATTGAAGCTTTCGGTGCGTTTCAATAATGTGTTGACAATACTTCTCCACTGTAATGGTTTCGCTTGGATTCAGAAGGCTGTGATGGATCAGACCCCCCCGCAGACGACCAAACAATCATCTTAACCTTTTTGGGTGCAATTTCGGCTTTGGGAAGTGTTGTGGAGCTTGATCGTGGTCCAACCAATGAGAGGTTCATCGTCGATTGTCGTAAACGACCCACTTTTCATAGCAAATCACAATCCTGTCGAGAAACGGGTCGTTTTTATTGCGCAGAAGAAAGGCAGACGACGCCACAAAACAACGATTTCTTTAATTTTCATTCAGTTCGTGCGGCATCCACTTATCAAGTTTTTTCGACATTCCAATCGCCCGTAAATACTTTAAAACTGTCACATGCGAAACTGTTAATCCAGCAGCAAGATCTCGAATAGTTTTTCGTGGATCTGCTTTAACTAAGGCTCGTATTTGATAGTTCACTTCTAAAGGCCGTCCAAAACGATTTTCATCTTGAAACCTCCTTTTCGAAATTTCTGAAACTAACATTATGTAGAACGGTTATGAGTAGTTCCAAAACCAACTACACTGTTGTTATCATGGGCTGTTTCCGTTGCATTTCGACTAAGTAAATTGGTACAAGAAGATTGTACGAATATGTCTTCTCTCCATGGTGCATCAAATATTTTGTAAATATGTAAACATGTATTTCTGAGCTAAACTGTCACCATAGTTAGCCAGAGCGCAAAACAGGCTTCCACACGATATACAAGGTCAAAGCAACTAATTAAAAATTATTTAAAAGCACAGCTATTAAATTAAAAATATCAAAATACGTAATGACTTTATTACTAACCTTGTGATATTTTCCTGCTTTGGCCGAAGTACCGATCTTGTTTGATATGGTTCGCATGCTTTTATGACCTGGTCTGATTGCTTGCGTCACACCTTTTCTAGTTTGCTTCTCCTCCTTGATTACAAAGAAATGATCTCGTCCCGTCGCATTGGCCATTCTATCATAGGCTTCGTATTGTTCTACTTTTCTCGCAACGCCTTTCTAGCACCTATTTAAGACCCATGGCAATCCAATCAACTCTCCATGGCTGCCCATCTTACTCACGATACCGTTCTGTCTTTATTCTTGACACGACCTTGCGTCTAACTGCCGCTGCGCTGCATACTGTCTCGTAATGGTAATGTTGCCGTCAAAATACATATCCTCCCTGCCTGCCTGACTTGGAGTCTTCCGGTTTCGTAGTCTCCGTTTGCTGCGATGTCACTTCACACTGCGTTTGTCCTGCAATCAGTTTATCATTCGTTTTACACTACACTACGGTTCACTACTCCGTTGTATGTCACGCCACAGCTTCGCCAACCGGCTTTGATAGCTGTGAATTCCAAGTTTCACTTTCCTTGAGATTCCGTGTTATTTCATTTCAGCTCGGTTCAGCCGTGATCTGCTCCAGGGCTTAGCAAAACGAGGTGCTCAGATCGTCCTCTGCTCACGCGATCTGGATGCATGCGATTACACAAGGGACAAACTTCTCAGAGCCACCCGGGTCAGCGCAAGTCGTGTGGATTGCCGCGCTTTGAACTTTGGCAGTTGTGTCTCGGTTCGGCGATTCGCAGCCGCCGTGCTTTCCGACTATCAAAAAATCGACAGCATTGTCGTCCAGTCGCCAAGTTGTGTGACCAGCATTATAGCTGGGAAACGCCGTCCCACCATCGATGGATTTGAACATCAACTCGGAACCAACTACTTCGGCCTCTACTTGCTTACTCGGTTGCTGTGGAAGCGGTTGAGTGAGAGCGGTGGTCGTCTTATTGTGGTCGCTGACACAGACGCTGCTGCAGAGGCGGCCGCCGAGGCGTCTTGCCTACCAAACAGCTCTCAGATTGCTCTTCCTATTGATGATTTGAACTACGAGAATGCGGATGATTATGTGCCAAAGAAGGCTTATCAGCGATCCCAGTGGTTTCTGACATTATTTGCAGAGTAAGTAACATGATTGCATTTTTACGCTTTCTTTTCCGGCGTATAATATTGTCAGCGTACCCCACCTGGGATTTTGCTTTACAGTCCATACACACGATAGGCGCTTGCCTTGTAATCCGGTCACGGATTCGAATCCGTGTAGGTGCAGGCGACCTCGTATCAAAGTGTGCCAGTGTATTGTCGATGCCCTTTTTCTTTTGACCTGATGACCTAGCTTTGATTTCCTAGCCCTTTATCGGACTCGCTCACGATACTCGACGGTTTATTAGTGAAGGCGTTTTCCGGATAGCATTATACTCCACCCTCGAATCCTATCTGATTATCAAGCTGGTGAAACCGGTTATTTGGCGCAGCGTTGTGAACAGCAAGCACCCGCTATTTACCCGTCACAGCTACGACCTCTTGACTGAATGACAAAAGCTTTCTCTCAGGTAATTCGCGGTCAAAACTAAAACTGCGCATCTCATCAATGCACTTCACGAGTATCCCTAAGCACATTACAACGAGTTCTTACCCTTTGCAGCGAGTTGTTCTCCAAGCTCTGCTGAGTAATGGGGGAGACGCCAACTTCCTATCCATAGTTGAATAGTTTACTCTCCATCTAATGCCATTGGAGGGAGCAGGGGATACTTAAAATTCCCTTACCGCATCCGCCGGCCTGTTACCATAAAGATCACAGCCTGTCTTGTATTCCTTAGGTTGCGGGTTCGAGCTTGCGTAGGGGACCGGGCAAGCCTCACTGTGTCCTTAGCTCACGTGCGACTGGTGGTGATTGCGTGGCAGCGAAGCGTCGGTACTACGTACCGGCGGGCTGCTGATGACTCCTGTATAGCCTCCACTTAAAGTATTAATAAAGCCTATCCATGTGTTTTGATCGGCGCTCATAGTAGCGCCCTGTGTTCACATCGTCATTAGTGAGCCCTCCGTACACAAGACTGTGATTGAAGTCCCGACCATCGCTACTGAATAAACCCGACTTGTTCTAACGCTGCTTAAACGGGACAATTGTTCACACCTAACTTTGCCGATAAAAGTAGGGTGGGCCAGTCACCAGTATTCTATCTCGCTCTCCAAACGTGTGCGCTTCACTGGTGAGGCATTTTCAGGCAGGCGCTTGACACTTATACTTCACCTATTTTGAAATGACCACCTGGTTTATTGAACACCATGCCCTCGAAACATTTCACAAAACACACATCAGTGGAACTGAAATGTACATACTGTATGTTAATGACACTCCCGTATTTTGCGAATCCGAAAAGCATGTGGAACAGTTGCTGAAAGCCTTTAATGAGCACATGAGAAGCTACGCTACACCTGTGACAACAAAACTGAAACCGGCTATCTTTCTTGGATGTTTAAGTCATCCGCAACTCGGATGGATCATGTAGCAGAAAGGAACCATTCATGGACTGGGCCATATACTAACTTTCACTGCGCAGTACCTTTACAACATAAGGAGTTTACTCTGATCATTTGCCTTTAGCGTGCGGAAAATTTGCATTCCGCATCCTGTCAACGAAGAGCTACAGAGAATCAGCGACGCCCTTGGAGAAAATGGCTACCTCGATAAGTTTATCATGAAGCGTCTGAAGGAATGACATAGAAAGCCACCTAGAAGCATTCCTCCCAAGAAAGAGCTTTTCACACATTTACCATTTGAGGGTGATTCTGCTGCTGATACCCTATTGCGGCGCTTAAATAATGGTGTTGAGAAGACTTATTTCGCGGCCCGATTAAGAATTGTCTACTACAACAAGCCATTGCTTGCAAAACTTGAAAGATAAACTGCCTTCGTTGACCCGTTCAATGCTCGTTTAACGGTACTTATGTTCCGGTGGTGCATGATACGAGACGCCTATCTCAGATGTTTCGTGGGTATATCCCGACGTGATTTTACAAAGGCGAAATGAGGTTCTCAAATAGCTCAGTCATGTCGCACCTCCTTGAGTGTGTGGGGAATGACTTCAAAGTTATCTACTCACTACTTGAGCGCTTCTCGCAAGGATTCCGAAAGAAGCTCTTGTCTGTTGCCGAGGCTATTTACATCCACCATCTGAAGCCGAAATTATGTATACAGAAACGATTCGTACGGCCGACACTACTGCCGTGGCCAATTGACACTGTTGCTACCTTATTCATTCACTTTAGACTGCGGAGGTTTACATATTAATGTTCCACTAGTACACTTGGATTACCATCTGTAGCCGCCTTATTCATCGACCTTGACCGTTCAAACACCTTTGAAATCAATCCCAGCCCGATTTGACGCTTTCCACACACAATCAACGTTATATTAACTTTTGGATCTTAAGAGAGTTTACCGAAAAGAATTCTCAATCCAGAACCGTTTTCTGGTCTTGATCCATGTTACAGACCTATCTCACAGTAACAGCTAAACTGGTAACGAATGCGTTGTCCATCTTCGCCGGTTAATTGCACGACAGAACTTATTTCAGCACCTTGTCGTGGTCGCCTCTTTCAAGTAATCGCTGCTTGCGATATGAGGTTCCGCATCCGTTTTTACCCTTTCAACTGAACCAGTGACTCGGAGTCGAGTAAAGAGAACATTCCTGAATATGTTCCTTGGACTCCCCAAGTCAGGTGGAAAACACCTCAGATAATGTGCCGCAAAAAAAACATGCAACTGATGCACGCCAGTTGAGCCACCAATAACGGATAGACATCGTCCCGGAAAGCTACCAGCCGACTACAGTGTCGCTAAAAAATTTATTGTGCAAAATTTATATTATGCGGTTAGGAGAGGAGGTTAAGCGGGGGGAGTGGGTTGACGAAAAATCTCACAACACAAACCACTGAGGTCGACTCCTAGCCATATATATAAATATATATTCATCATCTTCCGCACCCCAGCTAGATAGACTCCAAACGACGCCAACGTAGAACTAAGGGTCTTCATTCCTCTTGACCAAGTCATCGCTTGGCCTCTCCTCTCTTACACATTCGGCTGGTTGGCTACTCCTCTCCGGTTTGCACGTCTGGAACCATAATACGCATATTCAGAGTCGACGTGAATACTGCGGTCAATAATGAAAAGAGCATTGAACCATTTTGCTTAAAAGATCCGAATCTTTCCTACCGAGGGAAATTTTTAAATTCGGGTGACACTAGTTTAGAGGTGACTACAACCGTTATCAGTTGTAGTTCGGAGTGGATATCCTCCCAGTCGGTGGCTGTTTCCGGCTCTGATTGCACGTGACGTTAACTAGTGTAGCACGTTCATTCAGTGAAATCGATCTGTGAATCCGGTTAACTTCACTACGTTTTTTAACACTAATGATGATGAACAAGAACATGGAAAGCTAGAAACAAACGAGGAACACCAACCCGAAAGGAGTCGACAGAGAAACCTTATCCACCGGATGAATCGCAGAAAACTGGCTCTTTTTGGCGGCGAACAACTGATAACCAACCACCGCTTATTACCGGGAGCACGCTTTCACTTACAGTAACTTGATGACAAGCGCAATGCGATCAAGCCCTAAAGCATCGTTGGTCTTACGAATTTGCCGCTCATCACGCTTTTCCAGTTACTTAGTCCTCAGCCAATTACATGATAATCGAAACGTGCTCCGATCACCCTAAAGCTACTTGAGTAGTGTGTGACCAATTCAAAGCAAATTCCCCCCTAGCCTTAGGGATCACAACCGTCGCAACGAGATTGGAACAGCGTGGTGCGACGGTTTGAGTACCTCTGACCCATTGATCTACACTAGATTGTGCTCCGGGTCCTTTGAGAGCTACTCTTACCATGTTGGTCAATGGTGAGAGGTCAGACAAACTCAGTCTCCTGGTCCTCAAGGCTGGGGTTTGAAATGGGATGTTGTCCACTTCCGTAAAACTAAATCATTGTCACGTTCCCGGTGCATTGCGAACAGGCTTTTGTGCCGAAGGCTTTGGTCGAGTACCCTAATCTCAACCTACAAACAAATCTTACCATTTCTTCAAGCTTCAACCACATTCTGCATCGGCCGTCGCGTAGTTTATCAAGGGTCGCCTAATTTACTGCATACAGCAGGGCGGATAAGCGAAAACATGCTACTGCTGGCGCCTCCCTTCTTTCTTTTCCACCTGTTTCTCTTACTCCCCTCCAAACCCACATTACTAACCTGCCTTCTATAGTTCGTAGCTTAATTGACAGCAACCCGGATGCCACGAGTTGAACAATCTGCAGCTACTTTTCTGCACCACTCACTGGACGGCTATTGGCAGCAACCCCTTATAAGACCACGCTGTCCCGTTTCCCTGGCGGCGTTCAGCATTCGCAGTAAGACAAGTAGGTCAACAGGCTGCACGCGCGCGCACATTGTACACGTTGGGGATTGACGTGTGTTGCGTGTCCGAAACTAGGACTGTGCCTCGCACCGCCGAAGAATATACCGTTTATTTATTTGGGATCAATGACCCTCACATGGGGTTGTTGAGTTAACTGCACCAGCTTGTCCTCTGGCTATTGGTTGCACGCATCCGGAGACGCTTATGCGGCATCCCCTGGTCAAGCTGGGATAAGTATCGTTCTCAGCTACAAGGTTGTCATCGTTGGTCGATTGGATTCCCCTGAACAGACGTTTCTGTGCAACCAGTTTGACGACATCAGCCAAGGTTGATTCACGAAGAAGTACAAAACGCTGTCTGTTTGTGGTTTCTGCTTATGCTCCCACCGACTCCAGTTCTGATGCTACCAATGACACATTCTACCTCGAACTGAACACGCTAGTACGCATTCCTACCAGTTCAGATATCACAGTACTTGAAGGGGATATGGATGCACAAATAGGTTGTCTGGGCTCCTCAGAAGCTCAGCTAGGTGGTAATTATGGGCTTGACTCCGGTCGTACCGACGACAGCGAGCGTCTTTTGTAACTGTGCGGAGCATCAGCTGTTTCTTAGTAACACTGCCTTCAAACACAGTGGGTGCCGAAGTGCCACTTGGCGTCCACCCATAGCAGACCAGCGCTGGACGCAGATAGATCACATTG